CCTTTGATGGCTTTGATGTTTTGCGAATTCGTGCCTCGGTGGCCCGGGAACGGGTTTTGGAGCTAGTTTGCTTTTCAAGGCCTCCCTGCTAAGTTTCTGGAAAACCGTGCTTTGCGCACAACAGGCCTATGTTTGCAGTTCAGATCTGTGGATCCAATCAAGTAAAAACCAACATACCCACAAATTCTCCATTCAATTGAGACACCGAAGCAACTACTTTCTGCTAAACTGTGTACAATCCAATAACCCTGTGCTCTCACTTACCGCGAATTCCGCTTTCCGAAACGTACCTCTGGAGCGTTATAGAGCCCTGCACAAAGTCTTGAGCGATCACGCATCGCTCAGTGCTGGACGCCGCAGCAAGCAGGTCCACCACAGCCCGGCACTGGCACCAGTCACTCGCTGAGCCGGCAGGCTTCGCACAGCTACTTCGACCATCCAACGCCTCGGGCGACAAGGCCAGCTCCAACCGGAATACAGCATTGGGTTCTTTGTGCTTCAACAAGCACCATGCCCGCTTGCACCCAATCTCTGAACCCAAACTCTGGGTAGCTTTGGGACGAAGGCGAAGGGAGTGGATTTAATTGCGTACGTGCCTTTGCCAGTGCCGTGTCTTGACAAAGATCTCGTAGACTCCTTCGAACCTGAAACTACCCACTCACTGGCCCTTGGTTTCGTGCATCGGCTCAAGTTTGTACAGGAGAAGTACCATCAAACTTCGCCAGTGCCCCGTGGCATCCCGTGGCCCGTGACCAGGAAGCGGAAGCCATGAGGCTGCTTCTTTGGACTGCCATGCTGGAATCGTTGAGCTTGGGACATTCAGCCACAAATGCTGAATCTGACCGTGGTTAGTTTTTCGCTTACTTTCATAAGAGACGAAAGCAGTGAACTACCAACGTGAACTCTGCGCAAAATCGAATGAAGCCTAAGGGCAAACTCTCGAGTTCCGAGTCCTTATGCTAAGCAAGTAACGTATAGTTAAGCCTCATCAGTCCGAAGCACCTACCTTCACCCCAAACCTGCTAACCAGAAACGTGCGCTGCACCCAAGGAATGGGGACACAGCATCAACATGGCAGGGCTGCAGCGAACACTGAGCCAGAGGATGTCGAAAGAATTCCTCTTGATTTCTCTTGGCATTGACGGCAATGTCAACAAGGCGCCCAGGCCTTTAACCTTTACAGGTGAGCGCGGTGTAAGCTTGTGGATTGCAGGAGACTTTCCAACGAAGTCTAGGCGATGCAATGCAGATCCTCCAAGACAGATAGCAGATAGACCTAAGCCTTCTGACCTCAAGAAGTCAAGAAGCATCATGGTCCGACAAGTCCAAGTGGGACCTGTTTATCTCCAAGTCCACTTGCACGCTATTCTCTAATCGCCAGCGCTGCCCTGAACCCTCTCCCAACCGAGCCTCAGGCAAAGCTGCAGCAGAGCGTTCAAGATTTCAACTCAACACTCTATGCGCTAATACGGGGCGATCCCCAGCAAGGCGCCGGGGTGCGTGTGCACTGTGTGTTGGTGGGTTCGGGGACTTGCATGTTTGTGTCTTCGCATGTCGCGCTGGCTTACAATTTCCCTTCCTCCGCACAGTCTCTTTGCCGTTCCCCTTCAAACTGTCCCGTCTTTCTGTCTCGTTGATTCTTCATTTATTCATTCATTGATTTTCTCTCTCCTTCCCTTGCATCTCCCTTTTCTTCTCTTGCTACGCTCACGCATATTTCGTGTGATACGTTTCTGCATGCCTACTCTGTGAGATGCATCATTCAGCCTGCCAGTGCAGGAATTGGTTTCAGTACCCGCACCACGCTGGAATGAAAACAGCTGATGATCCACTGCATGGAGAGTACATGTCCATACGTGTCTATGTGTCTATGTATATGAGTATAGGTGTATGCACACACGCACGGACATAGGCGGATAGGTAGGTAGGTACGATTAGGTATGGATCCGTCAGGTAGGCAGGCAAGCAGGCATGCAGGCAGATATGTCCCCACGGAGCTTGGTACCTTTATGTATGTCTGCATGATTATGCACGCATGCGTCCACACACGTGCTTAAGTTTATGTGCACATGTACGTATGTAGGTAGATATGTCTATACTATATATATATATATAGACATGTGTGTGTGTGTGTGTGTGCGCGTACGCGAGTGCATGTACCTAAACGTGTGTGTGTGTGTGTGCATGTATGTATGTATGTATGTATGTTTGTACGTATGTATGTAATTTCGTGTGCAAGTATGTATTTATGAACGTATGTTTGTATGGATGCATGTATGCAATGTTTGTTGCACATGTAATGTGTGTCATGCACGCAATGTGCGTGTACGCATGCATATATATATATATATATATGTGCATGTGTCTTTGTATGTGTGTGTGTGTTCGTATCTGTGTACCTATAGGTAGGTAGGTCTGTATGTACGTAACAACGTATGTAGGTATGCACGGTGTACGTATGTAGGTATATTTGGGTGTAGGATAACGTGTATGTATGTATGCATGCATTCATACACGTATGCACGTATGTGATGTATGCGTATGTGTATGTATGCGTATGTGTATGTAGGTATTTTTTTTGTTGTGTGTCTGTGTGTGTGTGGGTGGCTGTGTGTATGTGCACGTGTATGTACGTATGTGTCTAGTATGTGTGCTTGTCTGTCTGTCTGCCTGCCTGTGTGTGTATGTACTTATGTGTGTATGTGTGTATCTAGGCAGATAGGCAAGTAAGTAGCTGAGCAGGTGGCTAGGCTGCTCGTAAGTACGCAGGTATGGGTATGTCTCAGTATCCGTGCATATATGTATGCATGCATGCACGACGACGGCGATTCTCAAGAGTACCACGACGACGACTACTACTACCACCGCTACCACGACGACGACGACGACGACGACGACGACTACTACTACTACTACTATTACTGCTACTACTACTACTACTACTACTACCCAAAGGGTCCAAATATTATTCTGGTATATACTTACAGGACATTTTGGGGATCTAAGTATGTACCATGATGATACTTGGACCCTTTGGGCTGCTACTACTACTACCACCACTACCGTGATTCTACGGCAGCACAGCCGCAGCACAAACCTTGGTCCGTACCGACAGCCCAATGAGGATTGACATGGTGCAACTATCATGATCATGCGGCAGAGGGGGAAGAGGATTATGACGAGGAAGAGGATGAACGCATACACACAGCACACAGCAGTGTTCCCAATGCTACTTCTGAATGATGTACGTCCGCCCAGCTCCTAAGAGCCATGATTGTATGATGCACACTCGCACACTAATTTCCGGTCATGACAGTGTGAAGCTTGATCCCACTGCATGCAAGCTTATAAGCTATCCTAACACGACCGCGCACAGATCTCCTATTCCATTGCCTCCCACTGTCTTGACCAATCGCTCTCTGCTTGCTCTTCAAAAGGATTAGGATTTCAGCCCTGTGGCTGGGGTGGATCTTTGAGAAGTATAGTATAGGCATTCGCATAGTCTCCAAGAGTACAGCTATGAAAATATGACCTTCGAAGCCGCAGCGACCGAGAACGAAGAGCACTCCCCACCCCGTGCTGTTGCGGTTGGCACTCCTACCCGTGAAGGTATCGTCGCAGCACCCAATGCGCGTGTGGCAGAGAACCTGCAGAAGGTCGGCCGCCTTAGTCTTTCGATAACTCGGGTTTGTGGCTCCCTTTTCTCTCGATCATGCTAGCACGGTTTTCGGTGAAGGTCTTTCAACGACGTCGATTGACAATGGAGGGGAGCCCTTTCTGTCGATTTTGAGCTATAGAGCCCTCAACCCAGCTGCCTCGAGTTCCTTGTGGCTTGAAGAGTCCATCGAGCCGCGAAATGCAGGAAGAGAATCGTTTGAGGTTCGGGGATTTGGATGAACTTCACAGCCACGGCATACACAGGCATCCACGATTGCACTTTGCGCCAGTGGGACAACTACGAATCACAAGTAATGTTGCGGAAACTCGGCCATATGAAATCATCCCGGAAAGAAGCTGCCCCATGAAGAACAATGCCCACACTTTGATGTGTCAACGGGGTGACGGTACAAGGAGAGGTAGATCAGGGAAACCATGCCAAACTGAGAGAAGCGGTGATCCATAAACACATCATGATGTTGGCCATGATGATAATGAGGATGCTGAGGAGGCTGTGGGCCACGCTCAGGATGATCGTGGTCTTGACCTGATAGTGATGTCCACGACTGTGAGTATGACTGATCCTCGTCCTCGTCGGCCCATCGTCTGCTTCGAGATCACCACAGCAATGTCTCCCTCATCGTTTTAAGCTGCACGCTTCGACTGCTCCTCTTAAGGCACACCGCCTGCTTCCCCTGCTTCTGCTGCGTAAACTTTGTGTGCTGCGGAATCAAAGCGACATGCCTCGCGTAAAATCAGGAAACAACACCCATGCAAAACGCTGATTCTTGTGAACGGCCGAAGTAGTCTAGAGCATCGTGCAGCCTAGGTTTTGCACTGCGTCTTAGACCACTTCTTCAATACGGGCCAGCAGTTGACTTGTCTAGCCGTCTAGAGGTGCTGGCGCTTCAAGATAGTTTACATCGTTACCAAGGTGTCACCTTTGGAATCACCACAGCCGCTTCTCAACATCAAGCAACCAGACCTGGGCACAACACTGACTGACATCATTCCCGTCTGATCACGGGCGACAACCGTGAGCATGATCAAGTTCCTTTGTAGGTTGACACGCAACGGAGTGAAGCCCAAACCCTCACGAGAAACCTCACTGTGCAAGACCCGAACCAAAGGTCCTACGTCTTTGGGTGCCGTTCGAGATTCTCCTAACCAGCAGTATGGATTCTGTTCGTTCCTTGGACGGCTCGATCAACGTTCCCGTCCTGGAGGTTCGATCGTTCAAAGTGTGCATCATGTTTTCCGTTGCGGTCTGCCGAGATGGCCTTTCGGGCACCACCTGGTGAGAACGTGTTGAGATGAAGACCCCCGCATTAGGCGGCCTTTGCTGCGACAAATTTATTGAGAGTATAGGCGCATGATTTGAAATGATCTTTGACTCCCCCTCAGGTCTCCTACCCTTTTTCCTTGTCCTCGCTCTTCGCTCTCTTTCTCTCTCTTTCATCGCTTGCGGAGGCCGTGTCCTCGCAGAATGGGCCCTTGCTGGACGCCTCAAACGTAGTGGTTGGCGGGCTGGTCGACGCAGCAAAGGCCCACGAGTTGTTGGCTTGGGAAGGCATGAGAGACGATTTCAGGTGTACGTCTTGGGGATCTGTTGGTCTTGCAGCTTTGCAAATGACGTCCTTCATCTCCTGTCCCATAAACCCACCCCGACCCTAACAAGCAGCACCGAGAGCGACTTCAGACCCGGGCCCAGACCGTAATCCTGGAGCTCAATCGGTCGTGCTGCTGCTTTCGAGACCCGGTTTGGTTTCAAGATGCACGATCCTTCACTGTGAGATCCTTCAAGCCCGGACCTTGAAAGCCCAGAAACCCCAGGTATCAATTTTAAACGTTTCGCGTCGTCCGCCTCAGCCCGGCTGTGGTGCATTGTTTCGGCAGCGCTTAGGGAGAAAGCGCAGGCCCTGATGCATGCCATAGCATGGGAGGGTCAGCAAGCAGTGCGAGAGGAGCAGGGTTCACCAACTCAGCCGACAAGTTGACATGATTGGAAGGGGGGAGGAACGGCGGAGGGAAGGGGCGGAGGGGGTGGGGGCCCGGACCTCTGACTGCTTCGGCCGCACCGAGGCGACACATCAATTTGGCATTCGGATCTTAGCTCTGTTCGCCAAAGCGATGCCCATGCTTGGCAACTGCAAGCTCTTTTTTCCCGCTGAGGAGCAAGTGTAGTGCTGACGTTCTGAACAACTCTGAAGCCACAGCAAGATAAGCCCAAACTCCAAATCGCCAATCGCCAAACAATCCTGGAGGTCTCTGGCGCGTCCACGAACGGGCTGGTCCAAGACATTGCTGGGCGACAGCGGACCTACATCCAGAGTTTGTGCCGCGGACTACAGACTCAAGCCTGAGGAGAGAACTCCTGCAGACCCTATCTTATAAAGACCTGGAGCAGAAGCCCTTAAGCAGTTCAGCCGACAGCAGCAGAACCCTAAATCCTCGAAGCCTGAACTTGAGCTGAGGTCGCGAACCCCCGACAATCATTCCCTGCGGTAAGAGGCGGAAACCCTTCAGAACTCCAACGCTAGCAACTTGCACCAACAACCAAGGCCGAAATTCTGACAACCATCGTTCCGAGAGTGGGGTCTCCTTCAGGTATCGCTTGGTACGTAGGATTTCGAGGTAGGGTCTTGCATGAGTCTGGTAAATAGCTTCCGGGCACGGAGCCTAATTTAGAGCACTCAGACTCTCTGCGGGGTCGAACAGCTACAAGCTGCTCAAATCACTTCTGGTCTTGTGGCTTCACAGGGCCCGTGATTTTGTGAGGCTCTCCGGTATTTCGGACTTGTCCCAGAGTTCCGGTACCGTGCGTTCTATTCTGTCCGTCTGAGTCTAGGCGAGACTCTCCGTGCTCTTCACTGATGTTTCAGAATGCGGCTGTATCTGAGCGTCACGTCCAGGTCTTTTATACGGTTTCTCGCAATTGATTACAGTACAAGCCAAAAAGTTGGAAACCCAATAGCCTCAACCCTGAAGAGTAATGCAAAGGGAATCCCAGCACTGTTTGGCCTCCATCCGGTTTCCAACTTCATGGGCTGTAGTGTAGTGACTCGTGGGCACTTGCCCAGCCAGTCTAGACGGATGTGTGGACGTCTGCAGCCATCCCCATGCTCATCTTCAAAAGGCTTCTTCAGCTCTGGCTCTTGCTAGGACTATAGGGCTTCAGGCTTCGAGAGGCTTAGTCTGCCGATGTGCTGCACCTGCCGCTCGCCCCTGGCCCAAGGTGCCTGAAGGCACTTCTGGTGAGCCAGGGTGTGTCCTTGGTCGAGAACAAGGCCACGCTCGTTGAGAACTGTCAGTGTTTTCGAGGGGATGCCGTCAGCGACACCACGAGAGCTGCAAGCCGCCTGTCCAGGCTTCTCTCAAAGAGACGAAGCTTCTGTTCGAAGCATCACATGCGGGCATCATCGAAGGTGTGCCATTCGCAGGAGTGCCAGTGCTAACCAATGTGTGCACTCTGCATCAGATGTCGGAGGTCTCTTGGCGCGGAGGAGACCTCACCGTTCAGTTTGCAAAGTCGGGTTACAGACATATAGATGACATACGGCAGGCTGTTTTTGAATCCGGTGTAACAGGGTGCCATAAGCAATCACTCACTGCAACCTTCCACTGCCATCGCAAATTGGCAAATGCTACCGAAAACCAAAACTTGTTCCGTCCCTCGTTGTAACTGAGGTAACCTTCTACTATTCGAAAGTACGGCCGCTGGTAAGCGAGATCCTCAACGCCCACACAGTGCAGTCCAGCCAGGATGTCGCCATCTCTTCTATATGCATGCACATAAACGTGCATATATATATATATATACATATACACGCACATCATTTGTAGGGTCGCGTATCCTTTTTGTCTTTTTTTTGTGTCAAAATGTCTTTTTTTATGTCTCAGTTGACGTCTCGGCTTACACATTCCAATGTCTCGGCCATGTCACGGCCATGGTGAGGCGTCTACGACACAGGACATCTGTTCAGGCCTAGGCCAAATTAGAAACCCGCTCACGCATGGCATTGTCTCGGCCATGTCACGGTATGTCTCAGTTGACGTCTCGGCTTACACATTCCAATGTCTCGGCCATGTCTCGGCCATGTCACGGCCATGGTGAGGCGTCTACGACACAGGACATCTGTTCAGGCCTAGGCCACATTAGAAACCCGCTCAAACCCTAAACCCTAAACCGTAAAGCTTCAACTCTAAAACCTTAAACCCTCCTAAGCCATTAGCCCTAATCCCTAAACCCTGGCGAACCCCGAAAAAGGGTCTCGGCCGGGTCTCGGCGGAGTCTCGGCCAAGCGTAAATCCTGAACCCTAAGCCCTATGTCCTAAACCCTTAACCCTAAACCCCTAAACGTTACAACCAAGTCCTTAACCCTAAACCACAACCCTAAACCCTAAACCCTACACCTAAACCCTAAACCCTACACCCAAACCCTAAACCCTAAACCAGAACCTTAAACCCTGAACCTTACTCCCAAACCCTAACCCTAAACCCTATAGCACAACCCAAAACCCTAAACCCTAAACCCTCGTAAGCTCTTAACCCTAATCCCTAAACCCTGGCGAACCCTAAATCCGGGTCTCGGCCGGGTCACGGCCGAGTCTCGGCCAAGCGTAAATCCTTAACCCTAAGCCCTATGTCCTAAACGCTTAACCAAAAACCCCTAAACCTTACAACCAAGTCCTTAACCCTAAACCACAACCCTAAACCCTAAACCTTACGCCCAAAGCCTAAACCCTAAACCTTACACCCAAACCCTAAACCACAACCCTAAACCCTAAACCTTACACCCAAACCCTAAACCCTAAACCGTAAAGCTTCAACTCTAAAACCTTAGGAGTCCCCAGCGAGCTCCGGCCAATCGTTCTTTCCAGTACTCCTGGCAAACTGTTCTCCAAAATTCTCCTTACCAGGCTCCGGAGTAGTTTCCCACCCCCTGTAGCCAACCAACTCTGCGGGATTGCTGGATCACAAACCCTTGACGGTTCCTGCTGCTTACAGCATTTTGTCAGACTTAGCCAGGAATTTGGTTTGCCACTTATCGCGATCAAACTTGATATTCGCTCTGCATTTGATAACCTCAGCCATCATGCAGTTGCTAGATTTCTGCGACATTGTGGCCCCAAACTAGAGTCCCTAGCTCTTTTGTCTATGATCATCTACAGCTCGGTCAGTGTTTCCATCTCCGATGCCTCGTGGGTTCAGAACCTCGAAAGGGGGATCCTTCAAGGTTCTCCCTACAGTGCAGAAATATTTGCACGTACCCTTGATTATTATTTGGGGGGCCTTACTAATCTCTGGTTCGACGAAGAGGAGACCTGGATTCAGTGTTTTGATCCGGGTGGGGTCTTTCGTAAGATTTTTCGCTGACGACCTTATACTCCTCGCCACCTCCCACGCACAGGCTGCCCGTATGCTTCAGCAGGTTATCGCTACCTTCAACGCCATAGGTTTGACCCTTTCCCTCCCGAAATGTAAGTTCATCGCTTCCCCTGACTTGCCTAAACGGTCTATCTATGCCGGCACTGTCCCCATCCCTCAAGTTCCGGGGTTTAAGTTCCTGGGTGTCCTGATTGGATTCGGTGTCACGTGCCAGACAGTCCTCGCTGCGCGACTCTCCAAAGCCACTAACTCCTTCTGGGGCTTCTACAAGATCCTTTGTAGAACTACTGCACCAATCAAACAACGCCTGAATCTTTTCAACACTTTTATTACTAGTCGATGGCGTTGGATGTCTCCCACTGTTCGGCCTATTCTAGCTATTAGTCAAATGCTCAAGACTCTGCATACCAACTTCCTCTCCTCTCTTTTTAATCTTGCCAAAGATGCTTTCATGACTGGGGTCGAGAATTGGGTTTGCCGTAGGAGGGGGGCCAGGATGGCCGCTCAGTCCCTTCAACATGCTTCTTGGGAGGGAATTCAAGCTAAAGCGTTCTTTACTTACTGGGGGCACACTGCACGCATTCATCTTTACCGCTATTCGCCCATCTCTGCCGCACTGAGAATTCGAGATGCCCGTTGGGCTTGCCGTGCATGTGTCAACACTCGGCGTAAGCCTGGTAGGTGGCCGAATTCATGTCGCTTTTTGCAAGTCCTCTGGGACAAAAGCAGACCCATTGGAGCGCCACCCTTCTGGGATGACGCAGCAACTGATAGAGATACATGGCGTACATTCACGCAAACCTGGCTAGACCAACGCAATCTCAACCCTCTTCTGTATTACTCTGACCTACATCGGGTCGACCTTCACGGTAGGTGTCTTCTTAGAGTAGGCGATGTTTTCCGTCTTCTTCCTATGAGGCATGAACCGGTTGAAGCTCCCTACACCTCCCCCTTCGTGTCTCTGCCCGCCCCAATTGATGTTGATGATTTACATTACATTCAGGTTTGTAGTGATGGTAGCAGCAGACAACGCAAGGGGGGCCTAGCTGTTGCCATTCTTGCCCCATATTCTGAACTTGATCAAGCTGTTGTCTGTAGTGCCAAAATAGAGGGTGACTGCACCAACATAAGAGCCGAGGTCCTTGCCTCCATCAGGGCCCTTAAACTCATTAGGGAGCTTCGGCGACATCTTGGATCACATATCCCTATCAAATTCATGACAGACTCCAGTTTTGTACTGCAGATACTCAGCGATGCCATCAAACCTACCATTTACGCAAGCGAAATCAATGAGTTGTATTCGTTATGGTCTGACCTCTGTAGCACGGTTATAGCTGTACATGTAAAAGGACATGCCGGACATGCACTGAACACCTTAGCTGACTATGCAGCCAAACAAGCATTGTACCTGCAGCATTACCGTGTCACGTACCGTACTGCTGATTTCAGTCGTGCACACATTCTCCAACCTGCATGCTCACCGCCCCCACTGCACACATGGCTTGCATGACCTCCACTGTCCAGCGACCTGAAGCTTTGTCCTTCCTAGGAGTTGCAGGGAAGGGGGGGGGGCAGGGCAGCAGCCTGTACTCTCGAGTGACGAAGCTCTGAACCTTGTCTTGCCTGACCTCCTGGTTTTGGAGATCATGCACTTTCAGATGGATGCCATGTTTTTGTGGACCCTTGCTGCACTCATGTCCGCCCCGGTGCTCTACGCACTGAGCAAGCATGGGAGTCGCATGCTACAGAGCCTACGTGAGTGGTGCAAACAGCCACCGGCCTGGCAGATTGTCTTGGAGCAAATGCAACAAGACACCCTCCACCGAATGCATGATCTGCTGGAGGAGCGACTGCGATTGCAGTCACAATCCCACCAAGAGCATCTCGTGGAGAATCTGGATGTGCTGCATGCTGCGGTTAAGTCGGGTGCACAGCAGGTGACTCTGGATGGGGCTCAGCTGAAGCAGATCAAAGACATGCTCAGCCAAGAGTCTAGTGACACCCGTAAAGCAGTGATCCTCCACAAGGACCTCCTGGACGATGTGGCGAAGCAGCAGAAAGTCCTGGAAACCTTGCAAGATGGAAGCCTTGCACAGGTTCGCGAGGTGTTGCAGGATCAACAGGCGGGGACTCGGCAGATCTGTGACCGGGCTACTGAACTGTCGGACAAGATGATTGCACTGGACAGATTGGTCGATGCCCTTTCTGGAAGCCTCCAGAAGATGTCGAATGAAAGCCATGTTGGGTTCACCCGCGCGGAGCAAAGGGGGGAGAAAAACCACTCAATGATGGTGTCCGAGACAGGCAGTATCCAGAGCTACGTCAATACGGCAATTCCACTTATCAGGGGTGCCAAGGAGAACACGGACAAAACTGTCCAAGGCCTGGCTGAGCTGGCAAAAGAGTGTGATGGACTGAGACACAGGGTCGATGACCTACCGATTGACGCCATCATGCGTCACCTTGGCAGCACCGAGCACATCGTGGGTGAGATCCGCGAAAGCTTGGATGTCACAAGTCGGGTGCAAGAGCTCGATGAACGTCTGATGGAAAGATTGCCGAAGCTTCCGGCGCGAAAGCCACCGAGCCAAACTGGTGGAGCCAGCATAGGCACCAATACAGACAGAGAGCCAGAGACCATCCGGCTTCAAGAAGCAGTGCCTGCCTCGTCGTCTCAGCCGATTTTTGTAAGTACAGCGCAGCCTTTTATCATGGCGCCGCCTCCGGGTCAGGGTGCACCCTTGATCATCACGCAGTCACAACAGGATGCACTGCAGAGGCATGGTGGCCACTACGTGTTCCGAGGATGAGATGAACACATCCTTGCCCACACATGTGCTCCGTCGCCCTGTAATGTACTTGACCTTCATGCCCCAAACCTCTATAGGCTTAACCTGTAGTCTGGGAACAAGGAGCAAAGTGGGTAAAGCGCCTTTCTTGAGCACCAGCAACCAGCATGTGAATTTAAGCAGCATGTGCATGTCGTGAATCCTGCCTGTTTTTCACTCTGCATGGCACTGCGAGCCTGTCACTACGACGATCTGCATGGCACCACGACGTCCAACAAGGACGACCACGAATTGCATGACACGAACTTTTGCATGATGCACTTTGCACACACTTTCGAATTTGTTTGTATTCATATGAATTTGTTCGTATTCATATGAATTCCGCTGCAACATGCTGGATGTGCTCACCGATGTGCTTGACACAACGTATAGTGGCTGCGCCGCGACAAAACGAAGGACTTTCGGAGCGAGTGTATGCAGTTGAGATGTGCTTGTCCTGCGAACTCCACGATGCCAAAAACATGTAGCTGTAGCTTGGAGCTTAGTTCTGCACCTGAGCTTCTTTTCAGACGGCATGGGCTCAACAGGTAGTGTATACCACTAGTCGGGCTGATCTTTAACCAGGATCGACTGTCATGCAGGTTGGTCATGTCTTGAGGGTCCGT